GCATGGCACGCAAGAGGCAATCCCGAAAGGGTCCCAGCCGGGCTCCTGGGGATGGGCAGACTTCGCGGAGTGCCCCCAGTGCATCAGGCTCGGGGCAGCCCCAGAACAGAAGCAGGTGCCTCGGAGCACCCAGACAGCAGATCTGCTGAGCAGGGAGGGCCCCTTTGCCAGCAGCACCACAGCATCATGCTTCAGGAGCTCCGCAGGTGCAGCATCCCAGCACCGTGAGACGGAGAGCGGGGGAAAGCCGTGGGAAGGAATCGGCACGAGCGGTCGTTTGGCCAGGCTACTCTGCTTTGGCCCTGGACACTCCCTGGCTGATTGCACCAATGCCATGCGCAATAAATTAAATACCTGCATGCCGTCAGATTGCTGAAGAACACCTGGTAAGGAAGCTGAGATGCCCCGGCTGCCCACACACACAGCTCAGACATGTAACTGTGAAACTTGCCGGGGTCCATGGTGCGGATCAGGCCCGTGCTGAGGGGCTTCTGGTGAAAGGCCACCCTCCAGCAGGGGCCTGCTGACAAGAGCTTTCTGGAGTTGCTCCTTCTCACCACAGTTTCCACCTGTATGTTCACCTGCCTCTCACTCTGGACCAGAAAACAATGCTTGCTCTCTGAGGGTGCCTTGCACAAGACCACCGTGCAATTTCTGGGCACGAATATGATGTGAGCCAGGCCTCTCCAGATGGGGATGTCTCTCCCCATCCCATGTTCTCTCCGTATCAACTTTGGGAGGTCAGTTTGGCTGAGAGGTGGTGACGTGCCTGAAGCTCATCCATGATCTTCGTGCCAAAGTATAGTTGAGCCTGCGCTCTAACCACTACTCCATACTGGTTCTCTCATTCCCCTACAGGAGTCCTGTTGTTGGCAAATTAAATGTTCAGCCCCTACAGGACAGCCCTAAGAAGGCAAAATGTTGTTCAGCCCCAGATTATAATATGCAAAATGTCCCATAATTGAAACACCAGGTGGGATTTGGAAAGGAAGGAGTTGTTTAAAAGAGACCCACTCTTTTATTAGATGCAAAAAGGAACAACAGATGGACATTCAGCCTGTCTGACAGTTCCGCATCTTACAATTTTCTGAGTTCACAATTTACCCAGCAAAAGCCCATCATTAAAAACCATGCTTGTTAATATTTCAGCAGATACTTCCTAATATGGGATAATAGAAGTTTCATTACATTGCTTGCTATTTTTAGCATGCACAGGCTTTGGCCATAACAATAGAGTTTTCAAGCCAAGTTAGACCTACAGAAAAAAAATCATGGTGGAATGATGGTCATTAAAGATACAGGAAAGAAAATCTAAAGCTAGAATAACATGTGGTTAGAAAGCATAACTCACCAGGCCCCTGGTTAATACCTGAGTATGCATAATGTGGCCCTCAGGTAGAACAACTGCATCTTAACAGTACTTTGGGATTTTAAATCCTTGCTTGCTGGTTCCAAAAGGCCTGGCACTGTAGCAGAAACAGAGTGATAGGCCTATCTCATAAGCAGTCCCTGGGAAACTGGCATTCTTGCTTCAAGGCAGCAGATACAGCTGTGACCTCAATAGGAGAAATACAGATACAGATGAAGATTTTCCCACCTGCAGCTCTGGCCACAGCTGAGGATGCAACGAAGAAGATGGGGGTGCCTGGATGCAACATTCAGGATCTATAAAGGACAAGTGGAATAAAGAAGGATTCCCCCTATAACTTCATCTTAAGGAACTTCCAAGAAACTCATATGGAACAACCTGCAGGCCTTTGGAACCACCCAAGTCACAGGACTTTAGGGGGCATCCTCACATTCCGAGCTCCGTAATGCTAAACCGAGTGCCTCTAAAGCATAAACTCCGTAAGCATGACAGGGAAGCAAAATCCACCCCGATTCCTGTTAATGCTTGCAAATTGCTGGACAGGTGCTCATACTTGGTTTGTGCAACCTTCCCAGTTCAGTCTGTGCACATTTCAACGATAGTCTTGAGATACACACTTTCCTATCGGAGTACTGCTTGGTTTGTACAGTCTTCCCATGTGCACAAAGTGAGCAGCAATGGCAAACATGACCAGGGACTGGGTATGAGGCATGCTAGCAATCTCAAACATTGCTTGTTTGCCCTCCCCAGGAATATATTTGCAAAGAAGCCAGTTCCAAAGAGCAACCTATGGCAAATTTCCAAAGAGCAAGGCTCCCTGAGACAGACAACCAGTTGCTTATGTAGGAAAAATGGGTGTGTTGTATCCATCTTCAAAAAGGAGATTGCTTCATCGCAATAGATTCCTCTCTCTCTCTCTCTGCAGTATGACTAGGCACATTTCATTCTTAAATGAAGAATGCAGTTGAGTCAAGCCAAATTTTAGGCAGTTCGAGTACTTCATGAGCTTGGTATCAAAAGCATTAAGCAATCATTTTTCTGCAGAAGTTGATCTGCCTTGTTTTGTGTTCTTGAGCGGTCCTCTTCTCTCAAATCCTTTCTAGCTAAAATGGGAGTTTAAAGTATCACCTGAGACCTTTGGAAAACTAGTTAAGAAATTAACAACACACTTCCCAGGGAGAGAAAAATCACAATCACACACTTTAGAGAAGTGTGCTTCACTTTTTTGTCATTGGCTTCAGTGACAAAAACCTGAGAAACACAAAACATTTAACTTAATTTAGCAAATTTGCCCCATAAACTGCAAAAGGTTTATGACTGATCACTGTATTTCTGAAAAAATAAATCAAGTTATGTCCCCCACAACAGGAAAACTGGCAGGATAGAAGTGCTATACTAAAAAGTACTTCTTGGTAAATTAAAAAATTGCAATTGTTTGAGCATTTCTGATATCTGATGTCCACAAATAGGCAGTCAAGTTGCAGTTCTCTCTGCCCCGATATACACCCACAAAACATGCCTTAATGCTGTGAACTGCAGACTAGCAGGCCAAAAAGTTGTGTTGATTGTGCCTAGGAATTCCCTTTAAGAAAATATTCACATAATTCCATGCACCTGGAGGGCCTTCCTTTCTATTCCATCTCCTAATTTAAATGTAGCATCCTGATACTGAGGACTGCTTGAATCACACTTGCTGTGTAAATATTTTCAGATAACTGTCCTGATGAAATCCATGCAAAACTGCCCAAAGAAGTTTTACCAGTCTTACCAGAATGCTTTTGGCTTTCCTTGCAATTCTATTCCTTCAAAGGGAAGTCAAAATTCCAGAAGCATCTCCACACAAGCACCCATTTGACAGAACTTAAAGCACGTCTATTGTTTCAGCCACCATTCTGGATTGGCTAGCTTATGTCTGCATGAAATTTGGCCATTTTAAGCTTTTTTAAAACCCTGGGAGTAAGGGTCTCTTAGAGAATCCTGGCCAGCTTCTTTCTTCCCCTTTCACTGATGCGTGCCACTCTGATGAGACCTTTGATTCTCATAAGACCTCTCAAAAAGATCACTTGATCCAAGGAATAATCTCTGTTACATGTCACAGCCATTCTTTCCATGCTGCTTCTGCACATAAAAAACAACTAATCCAAAGGAGGCAGAAGTCTACTAGATCATCAGCAGACAAAGCAAGCTATCCTGCGCTCTTTGACAGCATGGAGGAGGCCGTGGGGGTCGAGGTGTACCTTGGATTCCCAGATCTGAGGCTGGCAACAGGCATGGAAAGAACCACATCGCTGCCTCTCCAAGGTTGGGAAACTGATCTTGGAGAAGGGCTCAAGGGGGAATTCCAGGGGTGGGAAGGTGAGGAGACTCAGGCCAGCAGGATGTGAGGTGTCCTGGCTGCATTCCAGTCTCTTCCCTCCCTGTCCAAAGCACAAGATCTCCAAACATGGCCATTTGGCTAAAATGCAGAGCAAGAGGTGGGCAGAGGTGCAGCTGTCCTCTGCCATTCCTCCTGCTCTGGATGCTTCCCAGCCTCTGCGTGCTGGAGCGTGCCTGGGCATGCCTGGGTGAAAAGCTTCCTACAATTCTCCGAGAAGCCACAGCCTCACACCTTTCCTGAAGCAAAGGGGGGAAACGCAATTCTGAGAGCGGGGCACAACTATCCTGAGGCAGGATGCATGGCAGGGACCAGGCAGGAAGTAGGCACTACGCGACAGGAAGACCTGAGCTGCTGAGGTGAGGCAGGGGGCAGGCTCTGGGGCAGGCACTGCAGCCACCAGGGGGACTCGTGGTGCTGAGGCCAGTTCTGGAGAGAAGAGCTCACTCTTCCTCGGGACTCCCAGCCAGCACTCATCAGAGCTCCAGAGGGCCTGGGACCGATCCTGCAGACACTGAGGTGGGCACTCTGGCTCTGGTAACCAGGCAGACCCCAGAGCAGCCCAGATCCAGAGACGTTTCATCTTATTTTCCTTTTAACCCCTTCAGTGGGTTGTCCTTTAGCAGTTCTACACTTAGACCCTGATGATGTTTACTCACAGTGTAGAAAAGCCTTCACCCAAAGTGTTGGCCTCCAACAATTTTGGTCTTCAACTCCCAGCATCCTGGACCACTTGGCCATACAAGCTAGGCTGTTGGAAGCTGAAGCCCAAAATATCTGGCAGGCACTATGTTTGGAAAATTTGATGGAGAATGTTTCTTCACCATCCTTGGATTTCCAGCATGATTTCTGGAGAAATAACATCCTTAAGTGCAGCTAGACTGAAATATTTGCATCCCTGTTTTTCTGCAGGTGCCAACAAAGGAGGAGCATAACCTCCCCCAGAAAGCTTGTTTTCACCCTGTCCTGCTAAAAATTAACACACACACACAAACTTTCTGCTAAGATCTGGTACCTGAGTCTTGCCTTTCCTTCCTGCCTCCCAGTCTTTCCTTCTGTGTCATGCCTTTCCATTGTCATAATCAAGGCCTCGCTTACCTCTGTAAGCCTCTCTGAAGAGGCGGAAGAGCATGACAAAAATACTGTAAGCAAGTACTCCGCCTATAGCACCATCATCCCCAGAGCCAGGCCCAGTCGCTGCCTCCACTGCTGCCCCAAGGAGGCGGCTGCCCCTCCGCCCAGTCTCCATGTACGCACCTGCCACCACTCTGCAGCGCTCAACTGGGAGCTCCCCGGACGTGGCAGGATGGGTTGATCGGGTGGACCGCTTGTGCTGGATGACATGCTCCTTCCCATCAAATGACTGTTCAGACATATTCACTGGCTGGATTTGCACCTGTTCCGATCCAATCTGGATATATCCAACCTGCCCATCACAAAAGAAAACATCCTTAGAATCATTCTGGATGCATCTGTCCCCAGAATTCCAGCCTTCCAGCAATCAGGAGGCCAGTGCCAGCCAAGCCACCAGTTAGACCCAAGGCATGATCTCACCCTGTTGGCTCTGTTCTCGCTGGACTAACCCAAACATAGGAGATGGTGCAGTGGCTTGTATGTTCAGCTGGGACTGGGAAGACCTGCGTGTGAGTCCCTGCTTTTGACCATGGGATGGACTTTGGGGCAGCCACTGCCTCTCAGTCTAGCCTACCTCACAGGGCTGTTGCAAGGATAAACTGGAGGGAGGGCGCACCATGCAAGCCAGCTCATGGTCCATGGAGGGCAAGACAGACTATAGATGCAGCAAACCAAAGAAACCTCCTCCTGGTGCCCTGCCCTATAGTGTTGTTAGCCTCAGCCATCTGGGGTTTGTTCGGGGATGATGAGAGTCGTCATCTAGAATAGGCAGAGGGCACACACTTGAGCAGTCATAGTGTCACCTCCAGTTTTCTGGGCAAGGCACAAGCAGAGGGCTCCTTTCCTAAGCCTACTCTCACGCCACCACAGGCATCACTCACTCCAGTTCCTCCTCCCCTTCCTCTTTGTGGGGACCACCTGCTTGCCTGGCATGACAGCTCCTGCACTCCCTCACAGCCACCGCCATTGCCAGGGCCAGAGCAAAAGGCAGGTTCGCAAGCAGGTAGCAGTGGGAGGAGGAGGAGGGGCAGCTCCAGGGCTTCTCATCAGTGGCCCCTGCCAATCCGTGAGCCTGCAACAGGTGCCCGACCGTGCCGCTTCTTGGTGCTGGCCCTGCTCGAACCTCTACGTCCCAAGGAGGAACTTTCGCAAAGTTTTCATGGACTTTCAGTGCATGCTTAAGCATGTTTCAAAGTTTCAGACAGGGTGCGTTCCCCTTTTCCTGCCTTTCTCTACAGAACGCTATGCAAACCCAGCAGAGGGGTAGAGACAGAGAGCAAAGCCAGAAATTTCAAGACAGGCTTTTCTTTAATAAAGCAAGTTCTATACCAGCCAGGCAGCCACCCAAATAAGTTCTCTGCACGTACATATGAACTCTGAGATGTGGAACAGCTGGCTGCATACCGTGATTTACAGTCTGTATTACATATGTGTTATAAATTACACAGGGCCTCACACATGCAACATGCCAGTCTTCGTTTTCACTTACACCCAAAGTGTGACCTAATGGAGCCATACAGAAGATGATACACTAATTGCTTGTTTCTCTTTAAGTAGCATTTTCAGGAGGAAACTGCTGAGAACGCTCTTCGTAAACCTACGTGGCCCCTCTGCCCTCTCACTTTGCATGGCTTGGTGCCCTGGTAGCACGGATCTGATTTAGGCCCCAGCTCCCTGCTGGAAGTTGCCAAAGACCAAACCTGCCACGGCCCAGCAAATGCCCTCACTGGCCTGCCTTGCATGTTCTAAAGCACCGCACACACTGCCTTTTCCCATGGACCTTATGACGACACTGGAAGGTAGGCCGGCATGATCAGGCTTTTGCTGCGGGGAGCCAAGACTGAGCAGGAGCAGCCTGACTCGGGCAGCCTCCCGATGCTGCACACAGCGTCTTCTGCAAGCGGAGCGACAGGCGCACCCTGAAGTCTGTCGAACAAAACTGGGCTGGGGGAGGCGCATCCTATGCAGCCGCTGCTGCCACCCATCCGGTGAGCAGTGCTGTGAGCTCACCAAGGCAGGGCAGCAGAGGATGAGCGAGCGCCTGGCAAGGACAGGGGAGTAAGGAGGAGAATCCACTCCACAAGGCACTGGAGAGAACTTCCTGAGCATCTCTAGATGCTTTGGACTCCAGCTCCCATCAGCCCCAGCCCTCAGAGTCAACGGCCAGGAATCCTCCGAGCTGTTGTCTAAAACATCTGGATGACATCAAGGCAGGGGAAGCCTCTTGGACTGAGGAGCTGAAGCAAAAGTCTCTCTAGGTGGACGGAGTGGCTGATTGGTTTCTACTGATCAGCTGATTAGAAGCATTCCCCAACCCCCTTTCTGGGTAAGGAGCCAATCGGGTTGGAATGCTTGATTACATACAGAAAGGCCCAGGTTCAAATCCCTACTCAACCATGAAACTTACTGAGCACCATTGTGCAACCAGTATTCTCTCCTCTCTCTCTGTCTAGCCCACCTCACAGGGTCCTTGTGAGGTTAAAATGTATGGAAGAGCCACATACACAGAAACACAGAAATAAAGCAAGTTGGAAGGGGTCTACCTGGTCATCTAGTCTGACCCCCGGCTCCAGCCAGCTCTGGTCATGAAACCCCCAGCATGTGGTTGTCCAAACCTTCCTTGAACACCCTCCCTGATGGGGCCTCCATCACCTCCATTGGAAGCCCATTCCATTTCCTAGGGGTCCTATCTCCAACCTGAAGCCTGGTTCCTTGAGCTTTGCCCCATTGGAATGCATCCTGCCCTCCACTGCAGGGAAGAACTGGCCATGGCCCCCCTCCACATGACCTCCCCTCATGTACCTATAAGTCGCTAAAAGATCCCCTCAGAGTCTTCTCTTCTCCAGGCTGAAAAGACCGAGTTCCCTCAATCTCTGCTCATATGCCATCCCCCACAACCCGGCCACCTTTCTTGTGACCCTGCACTGAACCGATTCTAACCTAGCTATGTCTCCCCTATAATGTGGAGCCCAGAAGTGAACACAGGACTCCAGTTGTGGGTACACCAGAGTCATGTAGAGCAGTATAAACACCTCCCCAGACCTGGAAGCCAGTCTGAGCTACTGGAATAAATAAGCAAGGCAGACATGGAATTAATAATCATATGAAAAAAGCAAATGACCTCCAGAGTGCCTGGATTGTTGGGACATTTTAGAAATCCCGGACCCTACCATCGATACGGAGATGGTCCGTGCCATTTCTCCATGGAGCAGAAATACTTTGGCAAGGCCAAAGTAAAACAAAGCCCCACCTCTTCTCTCACGTGCAGACTTTTCTGTTTTTGCAGCTTCTGAGGTGGAGCGTGACCCACTGCTCCTTTTGCGTTAGGAAACAGGCTTCACTTCTTTAGCGGGAGGGTCATCATTCTAGTAACAAGGATGCTGCTGAAACAGCATCGGCCACTGTTTGTGGGGTCAAATATATGTCAGGACAGGAGGGGAGCGAGTTTCGAGTTTTGTCCTCCTCTCATTTGAGCTGGCACCAAATTGAAAAGGAGCCCCGGGGGAATGCCTGTGGCTTTGCATCTGCGAGGAGACTGTAGATTCCTCACAATCGGCAACACGGGAAGGTGTTATGGGGAATGGTACAGAGTCCTGGAATGAGGTATTTTAAGAAGAGTCCAGTCCTGTAGCCTGTGGGACAGACCTGAACAAGCCACCCAAATACAGCGGTACCTTGGCTCACAAACACCTCCGTTCATGACCAAATCGGGTCGCAAACAGAAATTTCAGAAAAATTTTGCCTCAGATCACGAGCTCTGTGATGGGTGACAACCATGACGGCAGCCATGTTGCCGCACGAACATGATCCCAATCACAGCCGTCTTCCCTGCACGAGCATGACTGCGATCACAGCCATCTTCCCATCCCCCTAACATAATCGCTATCGCACGATTATCGTTTGGACTTTCCCTCCAAACAATAACCTCCCGACCTCCTAGGTTAGTTCTCTACTGTAATGTACTTCGTTACTTTGTTTCAAAATTTTGTGATTAAAAAAAAAAATTTACAGAACGGATTAACCTTATTTACATTGAACCTTACGGGGAAATTTGACTTGGCTTGCAACCAATTCAGATCACGACCAGAGTCGTGGAACAGATTAAGTTCGTGAGCCAAGGTACCACTGTATAGCCTGCTGCGGTCTCAGGATGTCTCCGGTTTCTGCTTCTCAGCTGGGAATGCAAAATCAAGAGAGAAACAAACCATAGACCAGGGCTGCTGTGCGGGATGAGAAGCCTCTGTGTGCTCCTTTGCCAGGAATTAGAGTTCATCGAACTGTTCCAAGCTGCACTGCAGTTCATTGGGTGGGTGTGTTTCTCAAAACTGTCAGTGGATGGTACTACTGCATCGCTTAACTCTTCTGCAAAAGGCTGTCCGGAAGGACACACACCCATATTCCATTGCCCGGGCCTGTTCAACACTGCCCTAAGATCTTCCTGGTGGCAAACCATGATCCATGCTGTACCTCCTCCTATCATAGGTGGAGGGCCTACACAAGTGAACACTTCCTCCAGACAAGAACATGTGTTGCAATTTGACTGCTGGCATATCAGGGTGAATGCCAGACTAGAAACATTGCTCCACACCCCGCTCTGGTGATACCTTCATGTGGGAGAAATCCACAATGGATTTCTAGGAATCTGGCCTGCAGGGCAGCTTTTCCCACATGGCATGGACTTGTCAACTGTTGTTTTTTTTAACTTTTCAAAATTTAAACAAATTAATCACAGATATACTAAAAAGCACCAACAAAATTGTGCATTACCTTCCACAGACTAAAGCTTTTAGAACTCTGAATTCGTGTCAGTGTATTTGCGCAAGATCTAGTTCTGTCAATGAGCAAACCACACAAGGAAAGGCACCTGAAAAACCACAAAATCCAAGTTCATATATCTCTACCCATATATTTACCAAAAAAGCCTCAGTTTTTCTGATTTGTGTGTGGTCCATTGTGTGGTCCAAAACTTTGTTCGGAATGCTCCCCGGTAGCATGGCCAGGTCTGGGCCAGCAAGCCTGGAGCAAAAGTTTTCCCTCGAGTCCTAGGTATCCATTGGTGCAGCGGAAGATTTTTTTCTCCACTTAGTTGTCCTGAAGGAGATAATTTTCAAGGGGACAGCAGCTGCTGTGAGATGGGTTCAACCACGTGTGCATGTACAGTGGTACCTCAGCTCACAAACTTAATCCGTTCCACGACTCTGGTCACGACCCAAATTGGTCGTGAGCCAAGTCAAATTTCCCCATACAAACACCAAACACTTCATTGCATTACTTTTTCTCCATCAGTTGGTG